TTTTTTTTTAATAATTTTTTTTTTTTTTTTTTTTTTTTTTTTTTTTTGTAAAAATGTATTTTTTTATAAGAATATGGAATAATTTATTAAAATGTGTTGGTTTAAATGTATTAAGGAAAATTAACAAAAATATTTTTTTTTATATTTTAAATTTAAAAGAGTGCTTAAGATTTGAAGGTTTGTTTGATGGAATAATTTTAGAAAATGTTGTTTTAAATTGTAAATTAATAAAAAAAAAACTAGAGTTTTGTGATTTTCCTTTTTATTTTAAGCATATTTCTATAAAAAGTTGTCAAATTAAATTTTATTTTTTTAAACGAGAAATAAAGATAATAATAGATGGTGTAATTATAATTTTGGAATTAAAAGAAAACGAAGAAAAAAAAAAAAATGATAAAAAAATAAATAAATGTCTTATTTTTTATGAAAATAAAAAATTATCGTTTTATAGTAAGATAATAAGAGTTAAAAATTATGTGACAACATTTTTAAAATGGAAACAAATAGAGGAATGTAAATTTAATATAGACGTAATTTCATTAATACTAAAAAATTCTTATGTATATAATAGTATATATATAAAATTATATAACAATTTTAAAAAAAAATTGAAGAACTTAAATATAAATAGTTTCTCTTCTTACTTAAATACAAATAAGAAATTCAATAACTCTTATAAAGAAAATTCCTTTTATCCAATTTTTTTTTTAAAAAATAAAAACATATTTAGACATCTAATTAAATGGTTTATAAGATATGTACCTAATATTAATTTTAAATGTTCAAATATATATGTTACCTTTCCCAATATTTATAGAATTAATATTATTTTAAAAATAAAAGAAATATTATTTTTTTATGAAAGAAATAGACTCTTTTTACTATGGCCTCTAAAATATTATAAAAATCCCCTTTTTACAATTATTAAAAATAAAAAATTTGAATTCATAAATAATAGTAAAAAAAAAAAAGTAATAGAAAATAATAATTATTATTATAATAACAATTACATTAGTCAGAATTATGAAAATACTTCAAAAAAAAATATCAATTATCAAGGACAATTTAAAAATGTAACAATTCTAGTAAATAATAAAAAAAACATCATAAATAAAATATATAAAAGAAAAAATTACAAAACAGATAAAACAAAGACAAAGGAAATCTTTTTAAAGAGCTCATTTGATTTTGAAATAAATGTAGTTGAAAATAAGAACAGTCCTCTTTCACTTTATTTTATCTTATTTTTTGATAAAAATTTTTATATAAATATTAACAGTATTATTATATTAGAAATAAATAAATATATAAATTTAAAAAATGAAAAGAAAACTGAATGGATAGTAAATTATTACAAACCAAAGTACCGAATTAATGATTTTTTAAAGCTTTCCGATAAAATTATTTTAAGAAATAATAATATTAGTAAAGCAAAAATTGAAAGAAAAAATAAATTTATAAATGAAAAAGAAGAAAATGTACACATATGTAAAGATGTAGAAAAAAGTAGACTTCAAATAAATGATATTTATATGAAATATAAAAATGATTATAGTATTTTTAGTAATGTATATAGGAAAATACAAATACAAAATAAACATGATAATCTAATTGATTATAAAGATGATAAATGGGGAAATAATTTTTTTTCAAATATTTCTATAAAATTTAATGATATAAAAAAGTATAATAAGAATGAAATTAACTCATTTTATTTTAGTTCTTTAATTATTGATATTTTTAAAAAATACAATTTAATCAACAGCAATAAAATAGATAAAAATATAAAATGTTATAAATTTTATTTTTCAAAAAGAAAAAAAGATTATTTTTCAGAGACCGATTTAATATTTCATAAAAATAAAAAAAACATAAAAACATATTGCTATACCACTCATAATTTAAATATAGAAGCATCTGAAAAAATTAATAGTCATAATAAAAAATTACAAAATTTTTATAATATTTATAATTACAAATCAAAAAAAAGTTATATTAAAAATAAATTATATTATTATGATATAGAAAAATATTGTAAGTATAAAACAGTGAAAGGAAATAATTTTATAAAAAATAATTTCATATATAAAAATTGTAATTATATATGCAATTGTAATAATATAAATGAAAATTTATTAAAAAAATCAAAAATAGGATATAATGTAAGTTGTAAAACAAAATATTTTTCTACATTTAATGAAAATCATTTTTATGAAAATTTGTATGCAGATAGAAAGTCATTAACAATTTTAAAAAGAAAAATAATTAAAAAGTGGTGGTTTTATTTGTATAAATGTGTCTTATTTAAAGTAAGACAAAAAAAAAAGAACTTAAAAGAAGTTATTATTGAAAGAATAAAAACAAAAACAGCTTATATAAATATTATCAAAAGCTTTATGAAATCAAATAGCAAATTAGTCAACTATTTTAATTTAAATATAGAAGAACTCTGTATTTTATATAAAAAGAACAATAAAATAAGATATATTTGCAATTTATATAATTATTTCTGTTCAACTGAAATATCACATTGGCACCTTTTAGCTTTAGTTGATTATGAATATGAAAATAAAATATGTAGAGGACTGCTAAATGTATTGGAAATGAAATCATTCATAAAAGAAAAAAAAAAAAAATTTAAAATGACTGATTTATATTTTTGTAGAAAAAAGTTATTACACAGATTTTACTTTTATGTTGATTATAAAAATTGTTTTCCTTACAATTATAAATTTAATAATGAAATACAATATATTAATGATCTTTTTTTTTACTATAATAACAAATTATTAGTAAATAGCAATAAAAAATTAAATGATTCAACTATTCCAGTAAAATATAAAAGATATTTTCAGTTTTCATTGCCATTCTATGTAAAAAATAAACAAATACAAATTTTTATTCCTAAATTAAAAATATATTTTAAAAAAAAAATTAATGAAAGAAATGAAAATGACTCTAAAAATAAAAATGTTTTCAAGTTTATTATTTATCAAACAGGAATTAAATTTTCTTTTTTTAATGAATACTCCTTTTTATTTTGTTTTCATTCCTTATATTCAACAATATTTAATGAACCATTTATAATATTAGAAAATAACCACACTCCTACCTATAGAATATTGCATATTAACACTATAAATAATCATGAAGATTCATTAAAAAATATAGATGAATATTTATGTTATTATGCAAAATGTTGTAAAAAAAAATTTTGTCCTTTATCTACATGTAATTCAAAAGGAATAAAAATTAAAGGAATTATTCAAAATAATAATGAAACTCATCTAGAATTAAGCTCTCTTGAATCTCCAATTAAAGGAAAAGTATGTTTTTTAGAAGAACTATTTGATTTAATTAATAAGTCTTATAAAAAGTTATTTAGTGATAATAACAATGATGATAAAAATATAGAAAAGTATAAACAAAAATGCACTTTAACGTATGACAAAAAAGAAAAGTCTCTGTCTACCAAATTATTTTGTAAATTTCATTCACTAAATATCAAAAAAAAAATATTGAGATTATCAGATGATTTTAATTATTTGCAAGTTATTGTTAGTTGCAATAATTTCGTTTACAATTTCAATAAGAAAAATATCCCTTTTTTTATATATTCAAATTTGAATATAAACAAGTTGAAGATCTATATATCTAAACATATTTTATTTAATATAAAAAATGAATTCAATTTATTAAAAAAAACAATGTACGAAAAAAAATTAAAAAATAATTTTAACTTCAATTTTTTTGTTAATATATACAAAAATAACATATTTATGCTTTATAAATTATTGAGCAAATATTCAAAAAAAAATCTTAACAAAGAATTGGCACTATTTATTAAAAATAGAATAATAAAAAATTTTATATATTTAGAAAAAAAAGAAAAAAATAATATTTTTAATTTGTTAAATTATTTGAATGAAAAAAAAAATCAGAAAATTTTGGAAAAAATAATATTTAAAAGTTTAATAATAAAAATAAAAATTCCAAGTATAACCATATTTATAGAAAAGAAAATTGTAATTGAAGATAAATTCATCATTTTAGCATATCCTTTAAATGCTATTCATAAGAAAAAAATAAAAAAAGATTTAAAAAATAATACTTCTATGAATAACAATGAGGATATATTGGAAACATATGATTCTTTTTTTAAATTTTTATCAAAAAATAATGTTTCTTCTTTTAATAACGAGAACAACTATTTACAATTCATATTTTATTTTAGTGGATTAGGTTTTTGCTTTAAATCGTATAAAATAGAAGATTTATTAAAAAAGCACGAAATCCTATTTTTAAAAATTTATAACAAATTTGTTTCATATATTTCATATATATGTATTCAATATAAAGAATATTTTATGAATTCCTATTTATTTTTTATATTTTTTCAAATTTATAATTTAAAAATTCATATAAATCTTTTAAAAAAGAAAAGAGAAATAAAATGTGTTAATTGAAAATATCCGATATAAAAAAAAAAAACTTTTTTTTTGTCATTGATGTTTAAACTCATAATTAATTTTTTTTAGTTAAGCATTTGTTAAATGTATATAAAAGTAATTAAATTTCATTTATAAGATAGGTATTATATTTATGTATAAATATTATATTATGTGGATATTGTCTATTTATATTAAAAAAAAGCAGAATTTTTTTAAAATTCATATTTTTCATATATTTTAATAAAGAAAATATTTACTTCAACAAATTACGAAAATTTTGTTTAAACGAAGTGAAAATATATATTAAAAAAAATTAAGTTGGCTAAAGAAGTGTAAAATGTGAAAATAAATTTAATTATGTATTGAATAATTCTCATGAATGAAATTAAAAAACTATTTTTTGTATTTTTTTTTTTTTTTTTTTTATGGATAATAAAAAATACATAATCTTATGCTTTTTGTTCTAACAATTTATTTTTATTTAGTACTTCTTTTTGAATAGCCTTTTGGAGTGCTATTAAAAAATCTTCAAGAGGAATTAAAACATTGTGATGATTATTATTTGTAGAGTTGTAAAAACGCAAAGTCTACAAAAAAAAAAAAAAAAAAAATGCCAACATGTAATAATAAAAAACAAAATTAAATTTATTTCATTTTATTATTTGTTTGAAAATAAATAAGTTTATAAATTTTTCTTTTTTTTTTTTTTTAAATACACTATCATTTTTAAAATTTATATGAAATTTATAAATACATCTTTATATATTTATAATATATTACAGCTTGACAAAAATAGGCATAAGCTTGAAAGGGTATTCTCCTTAAACATCTTCCACTGAACCCATTACTCATTTTAGCGCATTTTAATAATTCATTTCCATAACTTAAAAAAAAAAAAATGAAAATTATTTTTTTTTCATTTCCAAAATAGTTTTAGTTTTAATATAATTTTTACATGTATTCCTCTTTTATTTTGTCTTTTTCATTCTATAAAATAAAATCAGCAAATAAAATAAAATTGCATTCATAATTAAAATTAAAAATATAACTTTTTACTTTCAATAATCTTTGAATTCTTTGATAATTTGGCATTTTTGATGTAAAAAATATTATTTTTTTCTCTACCTGTGAAGAAAATTCAAAAAAAAAAAATAAAATAAAATAAAATAAAATAAAATAACAAAAAGCAAATAAATAAATAATATATATATCAATAATAAATAAATTTGGAATCTTATATGATTTAAAAGAGTTTAATAAAATATTACTAATTCATCTATACAGTCTTTGTAAATCTCATATCGGCATTCTTCATTTGGTAAACCTATGAACTGTTTTAAGTCAACTCTATCAATAAAAGCATCATCTATCATTTCTATACAAAAAAAAAAAAAAAGAATATATATATATATATATATATATATATTAATTTGCTTATTTTTACCTGAAATATTAGAGGTCGTTAACAATAAAGTATTATGATAATATTTTAAAGAATCTATTTGAGTTAATAAAGTATTAACAACCCTTATACTATCCGAAGGTTCTGTGCTGTCCATTGATCTTTTTCTATCTGCAGATAAACTTTCTACTTCATCAATTAATAAGCAAATAAAAATATCATTTTCCTCATAATCACTAATTATCTTTTTTATCTTATTAAATAATTTTAAAACTTGCTTTCCTGATTCACTATACCATTTTGAAAATAAAGTATGCGTGTTTAGTTCAATCAAAATACCTTTAAAAGAACATATTTTTATTTGTTTTTGTGTTTTCATGAAAAATTATATAATATAAACATATGCTTGCATAAATATATATACATTAATTAAAAAAAAATATAATACATATATTCTAGAAAGATAAAAAAAAAAAAAAAAAAAAAAAAAAAAAAAAGTAGATTTATTATTATTATAATTCCTTAACTTTTTTAATGAGAAAATTATTAATGAATTTTTATAGAAAATAATAAAATTATATATATATATAAAATTAAAATATTTTTTCTTTTATTTAATATAACCAGTTGTATATATATTAGATAAACGAATGCAAATTTTATTAGCTAATGCTTTACATAAAGATGTCTTTCCTGTTCCTGGAGGTCCATATAACAACACAAGATGATTATAATTTATTAAATTACAATCAATTTTTTTGGTTGTAAATAACATTAATGCAGATACATATTCTAATAAATCCTTTTTTATATTTTCTTCATAATATAAACTATCCCATAATTTATGAAAACGTAAATGAGGTAATATATATTGTGAGTAAATGGGAATATTTTTTTTATCTTCATCTTCATTTTCACTAACCTCATTAAATTGATCTTCTATTAATTCATCATTTTTATAATATGTCACTACATTTACTATGCAACAAAAATTTGGTAATATTATTGGATCTTCTTCCATCGATGATATAGATTTTTCACCTATAACAGGTATAGTAAATAATAAATTAGACGAATTTTTTAATTCCTCTTTTTTTTTTATTTCGTTAAAAAATGGTGATGAGTAAACAATATTTGGGGAAACAGATAGGGAACCAACTAAATTGCTAGAACTATTTAAATTTTCTTGTTTTTTTAGAATTATACTTTTATCATTATTGATATCATCAGAATTTACTTGATTTTCCATTAAATTATATGTATAAACTTCATTTTTTTTCAAATTATCATTATTGTTTAAATTGTCATATGAATTTACTTCATAAATTGAATAATGTGTTGTAGATAATTTTCCATACATATTATTTTCATAATTTTCATTATACTCTTTTATTATTTTTATAGGTATAGCCGGTTCAATAACTATATAATCACAATATTTATTTAGAGTTTCACAAATTATCTTATTAGGATCATGTCTACCTAATGTTATAGTTATTCCTAATGAAAATAACCATTTGTGAGCTGCAATTTTTATCATTTCATTAGATACATCCTTTTCATTTTTTAAACATATTTCACAGCATAATGGAATCCTTTTTTCATTAATGAGATTCATCTTTAGGATTATTTTGTTTTAAAAATAATTATACAACTTTTTTGTTCTCTCTTATGAAAAAAATAAAAAAATACATATAAAACATTTTATTTATAAAAATAAATAAATAAAATTATTTTGTACTATTATAATTTTGTTTCTTCGATTTTTCTTTTTTTCATTTTTGTTAAAAGTGTTAGCATATAATGACGGAATTTAAAATATTACATGATATATTCCTCTTTTGTACTTTTTTGTTTCATAGAAAAATAAAATACATTTGTAGATTCATTAATGCAAGAAAAATATAAAATTTTTAAAGATTATTTAATCTTATTATTTTATGCAAAGATTCTTTTTTGTCTATTATAAGAAAAAAATAAAATTCTCATATATATATATATGTATATATATATATATATATATATATATATATATATATATGTGTTTAAATTATTCATTTTTAAATAAAAAGAAAATATACTACTATAATTTTTGAAGTTGTAAGAATTTAATTTTTTACATTGTGGAATAAAAAAAAAAAAAAAATTACAATAGATGTACATACTCTTGAACTTATAAGTACATTTTCCTTATGTTTTATAAGAAATATAAATTTATTTTAAAATATTAAGCAAAATTTCATTTTTAATTTACTATTTAAAATTATAATGATATAAATTATATAGACTATTTAATTATAATAATAATAAAGTAATATTAATATTATTTAAAAAGAAAAGCAACTTTTTTAGCATTTTTAATGCACTACAAAAAAAAAAAAATGTTGATAAATGCATAATTATGTAAAAGAAAATTATAAATTATATAAATTAATATATTTTAATATGAAAATAAATACATAATGTAGGATTTTATCTGTCATAATTTAGTTATATGAATTAAAAAACAAATTTAGATAGAATAATTTTTACAAAGTAAGCATTTCAGTTTTAATAAGATAATTAGTTTTTTTTTAAGGTGCATAATAATTAAATTCTTGTGCTCTCTATAATAAATGAAAAAATAGGTTAACTATTCTTCTCTTAAACTATTAATATAAGAATTTTTGTCTATTTTTAAGGAAAATAATCTTTGTAAAGCATAAATTATTTAATTTGAATATTCATTTTTAATTCTATAATATTAAATATATATTAAAACTATATATTTATAAAAACCCTGTACATTAATTTTAAATGTGTAAACTTTAACTTTATTGAAACGAAAAAAGAAAAAAGAAATTTAAAATGAATCATTTTTGATGTTTTTACTTTTATTATACTTTAAAATATTTATGTAGTTGTGAAATATACAAATATTTACTCCATTTTTTTTTTTATGGAGAATTTTGAATTATGAAGACAAAATAGTTAATAATCTCCTTCTTAAATGAAACAAAAAAAAAGTTAAATATTTAACTTAATAAATCAATTATAAAAAAGCTTATGAATAAAAATTTGAAGGACTTCATAAATTATAATTTTTTTTGTGTTTTTTAGTTGTAATTGAGCACCTTTATGAAATATAACGTGTATTTAATTTGAACTTCAAACAAAATCTCTTTTTTTACAACTATTTAAAAAAAAAAAAAAAAAAAAAAAAAAAAAAAGCTATTTTCAACAATATATACTAATTAAGTTGATAGACAGATTAATTCTCATTTTTATTGTGCACGTTATATTTATATTAAAATAATTTTTATGTTCATTTATTAAAAGTTCAAAAAAAGAGAATAAATCAGAAATAGTGTATACTTTTAATACCTTTATTTATTTTATTTTATTTTTAATTTTAAAATTTTTAAAAATAGAAAAAGGAAATAGCAACAGAATAAAATTTTGTGAAGATTATTTTATGAAGAAGTCTAATGTAAAAAAAAAAAAAAAGATGCCATAAAAATGAGTAAAGATATTGTTACAAAGACTGAAGTGAAGGATGAAAAAAATAGTACTTTTCATGAGAGTGAATACTATGAATATAAAAATAATAACATAGATTTAAAGGAGAAAAAAAAAATAAAAAGTGTACTAGAGAGAAATTCACAAGAATATGAATTAAAAAATGAAAATGCAGAAATTTCAAAAAATAATGAAATCCAAATAGATAGTATGAAAATTAATGGGCAATTATCGAATAGTGATTCATACGTTTCAGAACAAACTTATGATGATATAAAAGACAATTTAAAGGATTTTACAGAAAATATGTATACTGAAAAATATTCTGATATTAAAGAAGAAAGTGAAAATGAAGATTTTGATCGTTACTTAGAAAAAAACAAAAGTGATATCATAGAATATGAAGATTTAAATGTAGATGAGTATTTAAAGAATATAGAAAGTAAAAATGATATTAAAGAGGGGTATTCATCTGAAAACAATAAAAAAAATAATGATATAAATGAAAATTTTTCAGAAAAAGACTATTTAAGAAATAATTCTGATAATTTTGAAAGTTGTGAATTCTCTGATAGTTATATAGATAAAATTAAATATGAAAATACTCCAGAATCTAGCGAAAATTATAAAATTAATATAAAAACTGAATCAAAACAAGATTTTGATAAAGAAAATTTTATGAATAACACAGATATAAGTGAAAATACAAAATGTGACATGCAAATAGAATATTATAACACAATAAAAAAAAGAGAATTGAATAAAGAAGAAAATGACGCAAATGTAATGTTTTTAGTGGAAGAAAAAATAAAGAAAGAAGAAGAAGAACAAGAAGAACAAGAAGAACAAGAAGAAAAAGAAGAACAAGAAGAAGAAGAAGAAGAACAAGAACAAGAAGAGCAAGAAGAAAAAGAAGAACAACAAGAAGAAGAAGAAGAAGAAGAACAAGAACAACAACAACATCAAAAAGAACAAGAACAACAACAACAAAAAGAACAACAAAAACAAGAACATCAAAAACAAAAACAAAAAGAACAAGAAAAGGAAAAAGATATAGAAGAAAAGAGTAATGAAGCTAAGGAAAGAGACAATGACGAAAAAAAAAAGGAAATAGAAACAGAACAAAATGTAAAAATAGAAGAAATTAATAAAGCAATAAACAAAAATGGCATTCTAAATAAGAATATACTAGAATATAAATCAATTGGGAATAAAGAATTATATGAAAATGAAAAAAAAATAAAGGACAAAAAGTTAGAAAATAAATGTAGCATTAATAAAAATAAAGAAAATTTAATGGAAATAAAAACAAAAACAATAACAGAAATAAATAAAATAAATCTAAAAAATGAGAAAAAAAAGAGCATTCAAAAGGAACTATTTCTCTCTGAAAATAAAACTAATATTCATAAAAAAGAAACAACATTTTATAACAACAAAAAATTTAATAATAAGGACATAATTGAGGATACAACAGAAGATAAAACTATAAAAAACGGAAAAAAAGATGAAATAATGTTTGATTTATTTGATTTAAATAATAAAAGACTGTCTGTTTTTGATTATTTAAACAAGAAAGACAGTATAAAAAAAGAGGAAGAATTTGATGAAGAAAAAACAAAAAATGAAAAAGAAAAATCTTTTATTATAAAAAGTGATAAAAGTTCAAGTGAAAACATAAATACTTCTGAATCATTGAATAATGAACATGAAAATGATAATAGTAGTTATCAATATAAACGTGAATATCCTTATACACATATATCTGATAATTTTATAAATAAAAATACAATAAAACTTAACAGATATTTAAAAATTAAAAGTCTAATAAAATCACCAAGTATACATAAAACATGTTATAATAGTTACCAAGCAAATAATGATATAAATGATAGAAATAGTCTTAATAAAAAATCTAATTATTATAATTCTAATAATAACAATTTACTATTAAATAAAAAAAATTACTTAAAAAATAAAGTGTTTTTATATAAGAATCCGTATTTATTATTAAATGAAAACAATGAATATAATGAAAAATATAATCTCAAGAAAATAATCAAAAGAACTGTAGGGACTCAAAAAAATTTTACAACAAAAAAATTTAATAAAGGTGTAAATACAATAAATCTACAATATTTTAAAAATAATAAAAAAAAAAAATTGCCTAAAATAGAATTTAACCCAATAATAAAAACTAATAATTATGATTTTGATGCAATAGTCGTAAAAAATGGCCATATAATCTCAAGAAAAAAAGATCCTTTAAAAGAACTCTTTAAAAGATACAACTTATGTGAATAAAAAATATCATGAGATTAGAATGTTATAATATTCATAAATAAGAAAAATATAAATTGTAACAAAAATAAGAAAAAATATAAATTTTTCTTTGATATATGAAAACTAAAATATTAAAAATAACAAGACAAATTTCATAAAAAGAAAAAGTATTTTTTTAAAAAAACATTTATGATATTATTATTTTCATTTAATTAAAATTTTAAAAAATAAAAAATATGCAAAAGAAAAGAATTTATTTAATCTTTATTTTTATAAGGAACGCTTTATTATTATGTTATAATTTTTTTTTTATTTTTATGTGATCTCTTATTTTTTTTATATATTGCAGAAGGATTTATATAAATAATTAAAAAAAATTCAATATAATTTCATTTTTCAACTAAATATATATTCCTAACTAATATATATATATATATATTTGTCCTTTATTTGTAAATTTTATTCCTTTAATTTTACTTATTTAATGTAAGTTTATAAAATTTTTACTTTTTTTTAAAATTAAAATGTGTTATGTAAATGAATATTCGTACTACGTTCTTTTGAATAATTTTCAATTCAAATAAAAAAAACCTTATGTAATCATTTAAAAATTTTAAGGTTTACAAATAAAAAAACATAAAATTAAAGCATATAGTAAGTATATAAAAAAAAAAGGAAACATAAGCTTATAATACCTATTATTTATATTATTCGAAACAATAAAATTGAAGTTTTACAAAAGTCTTACATAAAAAGCTTAATTATAAAATATATAAAAAATTTCAACAAAAACAAGAATAAAGAAAATTTTTAAATTAAAAACGTAATAACAAAGATTAGTAATATTTTTCATTTATAATATTTAAAAAAAAAATTAGGATACTTCTCTTAAATGGTGTAAAAAAGTAATAGGATGTAAATATATTCATATATTTATATAAAAGTAAATAAAATAAATAAATAAATAAATAAATATATATATATATATATTATATAAATAAATATGTTTAGATATATAAAAGAATATTAAAATAAAGAAAAATGACCAAATTAATGTGAGATATAAAATTAATATATATTAACAGATCATAATGAGATTTATTTATAAGAGTAAAAGACAATAATATATTTATTAATTTAAATTCATTTTTTATTTTCTTTCATCCAATATTTGTAATATCTGTTTTACTGTATTAAATTTTTCTGTGATTTTACCCTTTTGTATTCCATTCTGCTCTTCGTAATTTTTAATATATATCCAATCATTAAAATTAACAAAGTGAATTTTCTTTTTATTTAATAAAGTACATATATCATTATCAAAAAATGTGGTAGTATTTTGAAGAAAATTTAAAATAAGGGATATCCTATTTTTAGAGTTTACAATTTGACTAGCTATATTACCCTTAGCCCCTCCATCAAACCATCCAGCTTTAAAAATTCCAAATTTATTACTTAAAATATCCTCTTTAAATTTCTCTATAGATTTATTATATAAATTTTCATTGAATGCATTTTTTTTGAAACCTGTAGCAAATATGAGTAAGGGGGTTGTTAAATACTTTTTTTGAATAGAAGGATTAGATATTTGTAAATTTTTGTTTATTTCAAATTCTATATTTTTCATATAATTATTAATATAATTAACTTTTTTTATTTCATAATAAAAAATGAATTCAATAATTTTATGATTCTCATATAAATTTTTATTTTTTTCAAGATCTTCATAGTTTTTAACCATATTTAAAAAGAGTTTATTTTGTCTTTGTTTTATACTAGAATTTTCATCATAATTTTTTAAATGAAAACATAAATCATAATTATCTTTATTTAATATAACTTTTGTGTTATTTAAGGTCAATAATTCTCTTAATTCTCCATTTGTAAAGGAAGATTGCCAAAACCCTCTTCTTCCTATAATATAAATATGTTTAAAATGATGTTTTTTTTTGGAATTTAAAAAATTAATGTTAATATCTGTTTTTTTCAAATCATCATCTGATTTAGTTAAAATTCGAGCTATATCTAATGATACATTTCCATTCCCTATGATAACAGAATTAGTAAAATTATCAAAAGAATTTAAATAATTATCTACATTTTTACACCTTAATTCTTCATAATAATTATTATAATAATAAATAAGATCTTTTGCATGAAAAATACCATTATTTTCCTCATTTTCTAAATTAGGTAAAGAAATATCAGAAGCACCACAGCAAAAAATACAAACATTATAATAATTTCTTAAATCTTCTATTTTTAAATCTACACCAATATTTACATTACCAAAAAATCTGTAATTTTTATTTAAAAAAACAGTATCAAAAGTTTTATAAGTATTCTTTACTTGTACATGATCAGGTGCTACACCATATCTAATTAGTCCATATGGGTTAGGTAATTTATCGAAAATATCAACTTTTATATTATCATTTTTTAAAAAATATTTGCAACAATATAAAGCCGATGGACCTGCTCCTACAATTCCTATTTTAAAATACTTTTTTTCATTAGAAAAAAAATTTTTTTTAAAATAAAAAAGATTTTTTTCTTTACTTTTAAATTTTATGCTTTTAATTCTAGTATTAAATAAAATCTCGTATAAAATCATTATTACTTGCAAAATATTCTAAATTTTATTTTATTTTTTTTTTTTTTAATTTTTTTTTTTTTTTTTCTTATAAAATTATCCATATAAGAAGTTGCATTTTAAAAAAAAAATTATATATTTACAAAAATTTTATATAACAAAAAAAAAAAAAAAAAAAAAAAAAAAAACTCTTTTTTAAAATAAAATTAGGAGCTTTCTCAATAGAAAAAAATAATTTAATAAAATATAAATTATAATATTAATTAATTCAATATTATATACACTCATATATAAATATATTATTTTATTGTTTTATTTTATAACATTTTATATTAAATTATTTTATCTAATAGGAAAATTTAAAAATTTCTACATTACTTTAAAAAAAAATATGTATATATATGTGTGAAGGTATAGATATAAAATAATTTGAAATTTAAAAAAAAACTAAAAAAATTGCATATATTAATGATTAATTTTATCATTAGTGAAAATAAGATAATAAAAAACAAATTATAATATACATATTTTTTGTGATAACATTTAAGCATTTTCATTTTACACATAATTTAAAGTACAAAAAACTTCATAAAAAAAAAAAATAAAATACAAAATTTTTAAATAGACATAATAGTTGTGTTATACAAAAAGATATAAACGGTTTTATTTTTTAATTTTTTTAAACCTTTCCTATAATTTTGAAGTTTACAAATATTTCTGATCAATTTTATAGCCACTTTAGTAATATAAATATTTTCAAATATGTAAGAATATTTTTTAAAAAAAAAAAATGTTTTCAAGAAGGAAAACAAACATTTAGATTAGTTCCCATATTTTAGGGACAAAATGAAGAGATGGAGAAATAATTATCTGAAAATTTTCACTTTTCTTTAAAATTTTTGTTATTTCAATCCACTTATTATTTAATTTTATATAATAATTAATAGGTGGAAAATTAATTAAACCAATTTTTAAGGGAATTATTTTTAAATTTATAATATATGAAGAATTTTTTGGGATAAAAAGTACTTTTTTTCTAAATCCATTTATTAACCAACTATATTCATTTTCATTATTTCTTTTTTCAGCATTATCGATGCACACATCATATTTCATACAAATATCTTCATTGATATAATTTGATATTATTATTTTGATATTCATAATGGAATGAAGCATACCACATTTGGGTATATTATAATGAATATTAATAGGTAGTAAAAATTGAGGTATTAACACACTAAATTTATAAATATATTCGTTTTTTTTATTTTTTAACGTTTTTAAAATAAATTGATTTACGTATTCATATTTTATGCTTATATCTCCAATAATGCTTTCATAATTCATATATTTATTCGAATTATTTTTTATATTGATAACGTTATGATATAGTACTTCAAAAAGTAAAAAAATTGACATTCCTCCCATTATATAATTATTTACATAAATTTCATCATAAAAATAATTTTCTTCAAAATTCGAGTTATTATTAGAAATTGAATTTTGCTTATTTTTACAAAGTTCATTTGATTTGTACGAATTATCTTCATTTGAATCATTCATATAAATATTGTTTGTTTTATATTCATTATTTTCATTCGAATCATTTAAATTATCTGTACTTTTTTCATTCATGACACATTTCATTTTTTTTTCCTTAACATTTTCATTATTTAAAAAAAAAATGTTCACATTTTTTATTTGTGTAATGGATTTTTTTAAAATAGATATATTGAATTTTTTTAAATATATAGAATAATTATCATTATGTAACTTCAATATTAATTCATATAATATTGTATTATTTAATCTGTATGTATTTATTTTTTCCTTAAAAATATTTACAAGATCAAATGTTTTTTCTATAACTACTTGTCTATTTAAATATGGGTCTAATAATTTATCTTCAGAATTAATAAAATCAACAAATTTTATTTTTCCTATATAATTAACATATGACAATTTATGTATATCACTTTTTCTTTCTTTTCTTTTTTTCTCAAGTAAATTTATATTTAATATACATTTCATATTTAACTTATCAATTGTATTTGAATAATTATTATTATTTGTGATATTGTGATAATCCATATTGTTAATAATAACATCTTCATTATTTAAATTATTATTATTATTAAATTTTTCACTATTTATATTATTATTATTATTAAATTTTTCACTATTTATATTATTATTATTATTGCATTTTTCACTATTTATATTATTATTATTATTATTAATTACCTTTTTTGGTATAAAAGATATTATTGCATATGATTTTCCTAAATTTTCATTTTTTTCTTCATTGTAATATTTTTTATTATTATTATTATCATTTTTTAAATGCAAGGAATTATTATCTTCATTATTAAAATTAACTTCATCTAAAACTTCAAGATTATCTATTTGTATGTCTTCATTTTTTTCAATATAAAAAACAATTGAATTACTAATATTTAAATTTTCACATGTATAATCTGAGATTTCGTTTTTGTTTTTTACAAAAATTTTAATATTTTTTATATCATTATTTTCTTTTTTAATGAATGTTTCTGTTGATAGTAATCCATTTTCATCATCAATAATTGAATTTTCATAATTAATGTTTTTTTCATTATTTTTTATAATTAATTTTATATAATTTGTATTATTATATATTAAAGATGAACTATTTAAATAAGATGTAATTATTTTACAATCTAAAATTGAGTCTAATGTTTTTATCCTAATATAAAAAGGAGAAAGAAGTTGATTTAAAAAGAATTTTGTATATTTTTTTGTATCAATTAATATATCATTATTAACTATAAAATTACTATAAGAATTCAAAAATGGGATTAGTAAGTTGTTATTAGGTAAGACACCTATCTTTTGATAAAAGGAAAAATTATTAATTATAAGAAATACATAATCAATTTTAAAATCAAAACTTTTCCAAATTATTTTATTTGATTCAAGAATATTAGTTATGTTTAATCTTATTATATTCAAACCACTTTTAATGATATATTTATCTTTAGAAAAAGTTAAATATAAAATTTTATTGTCTTTTTCATTATATAATTGAATAATTATTTCATTAATATAATAATCCAAAGTAAAAGAAGAAAAAATAAATAAGTCAAGGTTCTCATCATATTCCATACATAAATTTTTAATTCTTGACTCTTTTATTTTTTTTTTTTTTTTATGAATATATTCTCGTATTTTTAAATGTAACAATGTTTCTATGTGATGAATATTCAAATTATTACTTGTATTTATAAATTCATCATAATTATTTCTTCCCTTTTTATCTTGATTTTCATCGAAATGATGACAACTTTTTTTATTTTTATTAATGTAACCAAAAATCATGTTTGATACGAAAATATATAAGTTGTAATTAGATTGAACACATATTTTAATATCTGATTTTGGTATATAAATATCATTATGTTTTTCATTTTTTGAAACAGAAAAATTAAACTTTTTTAATCCCTTTAAAAAATTCTGATTTATTTCAAAGATATAATTATCCTTGCAAAATTGTTTTGTTTCGAATTTAATTAACTTATTTAAATTTATTTTGGGTGGAATAATCATTTTTTCATTTATTTCTGTATTAAAATTTTTAGAATTGTTTTTCTTTTCTTCTTCGCTTTTTACTTCTTTAATTTCTCTTTGATGTATTTCTTTTCTTTTTATATCTAAAATTTGTGATCCTATTTTATTTTGTTCAATGATATTAATTACTTGTTTTTTTGCTAATTCAAAAGTCGATATATCTTTTTTTAGTGAGCTAAAAAAATCATTATCATATTTTTTTTCTTTTTCTAATTTTAGAATTGAATGTTCGTTATTCAATGAAAATAAATAATATTGATAATTCTGAAAATGTGTAAAATTCATATTCACATTTTTAAATGGTAATATCTTAATATACTTATTTGATAAGAAAAAGGAACAACAAAAATGATAAAATTTATTATTTACACAATGATATAATATGAGTTGCATACCTAAAAAAGTAAGAATATCCAAATTCGATTTTTGAATAATTTTTTTTGTTAATTTAAAGGATTTCTTATAAATTTTATTTTCAAATAATAAAATAGCCAAAAAAAATTTGTTTATTACAGAAATGTTGTTATATTTTCTATAACACAAATTAATGATTTTATTCATAATATTCATAAGCAAAAGAGTTTTTTTTTTTTCATTATCTTTTGAAAAATTTTTTATGCGATAAATCGGAAAGTTATAATAAACATTTTTCTTTGTGTTTTTATGCTCTTCTAAATCTGCTTTTTCTATTTTTTTTTCAAACCTTTTTTCCTCCAAATAATTTAAATAAAAATTAAAAAAAAAAATTTTTTTCACATTTGTTTCATCTTTTGATAAATATTCATTGTAAGTATTTAATATATTTTTTAAAATAACAAAAGATAATTTAAAAATATTGGAAACATTTATATAAAAATCATTATTTAAAAAATGAATACTGCTGTATGTAGAATCAGAAAATTCTGACAAAGAGGAAAATTGTGATGAAGAATCATTAATGGAATTACTTTTTTTTGTTTTTATTTTCAGATTTTTTTTTAATTTTTTTTTTTTAGTAAAATTATTTTTATATCCTAGTTTAATAATATTTTTTTGCAATAATAAATACCTGCTAATATTCATGTTTTTTTTTATATTTTTATCACTTATACTTTTTTTATCGTCTTCCTGATAAAAATAACTTCTATGTTCAAATAAAAATTTTATTAAATTAGCTAAATTATAAAAGTAAATTGAGAAATAGCTTTCTTTATTTATAAAACAACAATTTAATATAAATTTTAACTTATCATTGTTATTTTTAAATGAATTCATATCATTATTTATAGTTCGATTAATATCATTAATACTATTTTCTTCTTCCTTTATGTCCTCCTTTACTACATTTTTTTTTTTTTCTTTTTGTTCTATACAAATTTTACTAACCAAATTTTTATTATTCTTATTAAAGGTGTCATTCAACTCATTTATAACCATTTTTTTATATTTATCTAGCTTTTTATATTCTATATCTTTTTCATCTTTACTATTTTTTAAATTATATTTTTGTTCATCAATATTTTCATCTGATGAGAAATTAAGATTTTTTCCTTTTTTTTTTTGTCTTTTCTTCTTATATTTTATTAGTTTTTTTTTTATGTTTTTTAAACAATTAATATCTTTAGAATTTTTATTTAAATTATTTTCAAATTGATCAAAGTTATGCATAAATATAAAAATTTTATTAGTATAAAAAAACTGAGAAAATTTTAAAGCTTTACTAGAAATATATGAAAATTTATTTAAAAACAGTAAAATAGTAAATTTTTTAAAGAATATATATTCTAATAAATGTATAGAACAAATTTTTTTTTCTCTTATATATTTTCCTATTGTTAAATAATTTTTTTCAAATAAAATAGAAGAATGTATAATACATTCTTTTTTTTTAATATATACATTCAAATTTTTTATAAATAATTTTGCAATTGTATTATATAAAATGTAGCTTTTCTTAAACATTTTTAATTTTGTGTATAACAGACATAAATTTTCATTCCATATAAATAGTGATAAAAAATTATCATACATATCTATATATAATTTTTCATCATAATCTGTAATAAACTCAAGTGAATTTATGTAAAATGACAGTTTGTTTTTATCTAAAAAAAATTTGATATCTATGAATTCATTACAAAATAGGAATACATTATGTTTTTTATAAAATTCTATAAATTCATTAATTTGAGCATCTTCATTATTTACATAAGTGTCTGAAATATTAAATTTTTTTTTTTTCTTTTCAATACATGTTTTTTTTTTTAAATCTACACAACTAAAAAAGTTAGTTAAGCATTTATTATATCCATTTTTAATTATGCTATACTTTTTTTCTATACATATTTTTAATTGATCAGAATATCGTAGCTTAAATTGCTCGTATAATTCTTTTACTTTTTTATTGGAATCATAATTTTCATGCTCATGTAAGGGAAAACTTAATATTTTATTGCTTTTGTAACTATTATGACTAAAATCTGCTTTTATTTTTTCAATTATTTTTTTAATGTTTTTTATTTCATTTATGTTATCTACTAAATTATAAACGTAAACAATTAAAAATTCTTCATTTTCATCATTTAAAACTTCAGTCCACCTTTTTAACATATTTTTCTTTTCATTTTTATATATTTCTAAATCATTTATATATAAAAAATAAATGTAAATAAGTGCTCTTTCTGATAATAAACTTTCTTCATTTTTAAAATATTCTGATATTGGGTTATTATAAAATGTGTATTTTAAATTAACTGTTAATGTGTTTATTCTTTCATTTAATTTTACATCCGATAATTCATAATAATCTTCTTTAAAAAAATTTTTTAATTTACTAAATATTCTTTTTTCCCCATAACAAGATATACATAATTTATCGCCATACATTATTTTAATAAAAATAAAAATACAATGTAAATAAGTTATATATATACATACCAATCATTTGTTTATTAATTTTACTTCTATTATTTCTTATGTATAATTTATTAATTATTTTCTCATTAATGTTTAAATACTTTTAATTTTATCAAAGTTATAACTATTTACTTATGATATATATAATACTAATATTTAATATATAAAATAAAAACAAAATACACATATTTCATTTTATAATATACACAAAAAATTAGAATTTCAAAAAAAATATATTTTTATATAAACGAGAAAATATTATTTTCCCATTTTTTTTTATAAATATGATAAAATATATATATATAAATATATATATTTACATGTATACATTAATAATATATATTATTTAATAAACATTTAAGAATAACAGATTTATTAAATGATAATTCCTTTCTTTCTACTTTTATTTGAAAAAGCAAAAATATATACATGACACATCATTATATCTCTTTTAATTTAAACATAATTCAGGTATTATAATAATATAAATATAAAAAAAAAAATTTAACAGAATTATTTTACCCTTATAAATTGGTGATTATACTATTTCTTTTTATTAAAATATATTAAATATTGCAAATTTTTATCTTTTTAAAATTTTCTATTTTTTTTTTTTTTTTATATAAATAAGCTTCAATTTATAAAATTGTATTACTAACAGTTTAAAGGTATCTTTGTATTATTTTATTTTTTTTGGATAAATCATGCAATAATGATTTAAGAACTTAAAAATAAGGCGTCTACAGAATATTTTATGTTTTTTAATTTTGTAACTTTTTATGCTATATTTTTTTAAAATATATATTTTTTTTTTTTAAATATATTTATATTATTTTTGTGATTTTTTCTCTTAATTACAATTTATTATTTTTTTGGAGTACGTATATTTATTTGATTTTTTATTAAATTTTTATTTTTTTAATTACATTTATATTGCGGTTATATATATATACATAAATATATATATTTTTAATAATATTAATCTAAAAAAATAGCATAAGTATATTGATAAAAAAAAATATTGTTTTATTAACAAACTATAGAATCTTATAAAGTATGAATACAAAAATATATTAAAAAATATATATTTAAACTTTAATTTCTTTAAATAAAGTTAATGTCATAACGTTTTCTTTTTCTTTAAGTAGTTAAAAAAAAAAATTTCTTTTTTGCTTAGTATTATATATATATATATATATATTAGTATATTAATATTTTATTTAGGAAGAATAAATTATTTAATAGGGGAGTAGATGAAAAAGTAATACTATTTTTATTTAACTTTTATTGAAGATTTTTCAAATAGGTTAAAATATAAAAGCATAAATTTTTAAACATACAGAAAATTACAGAATTAAATAATATTAAAAATATGAAAGATATTGAGATAACCATTGACAATTGTGCTTATGCAAAAATTTTTATGCATGCTTTAAAAAATTCTTATGATGATGTCTGCGGAATATTAATAGGAAAATACTCTGAAGATGAAAAAAAAGGAAAAAAATGTTCTATTACTAATTCTATACCCTTATTTCATACACATATATTAGCTCCCTTTCTAAATTTATCATTTACAATGGTAAAAAATTTTAAAATATTAAAAAAAGAAAAAAAAAGAAAACACTTATTACGATTAAAAAAAAATGAATGATATAAATAAGATAAAAATTGAAATGTATATATATATTTATATGTTTGAAGTATGAAAAACATATTTACTACAGTATGATATAATATATACTATGTTTTTGTTTAATTCATGATTATAGTTTATTATTGTTATTATTTATATATCGTTTTCATATCCATTTTAAATATAAAGAAAAAAAATACATTCATTATTATATATATATATACAATATAAAAAATAAAACTAATTTTTATGATTTAGGTAGAGAATTATTACAAAAATAAAGAAGAAAAAATTATTGGTTATTATCATATAAATGCTGATGAATCAAAGAATAATGATATAAAAAATATAAAAATTTGTGAATTAATTTCAGATAAATTAATAAAAAATTATAAAAATGCCCTAATTTGTCTAGTTCAAATATCAAAGATAAATAATAACGATGATAATTGCTTAAATGTAATAAATTAACCATATATTTTTATTAGAATATATACTAACATGCATATATATATAAAATTTCAATATTTAAATTTTTCATAAAATTATAGATTTACATGAAAGGAGATACTTTCGAGTGGAAAAATGTAGATATAAATATTTCTAATGAAAATAAAGAATTTTTAAAAAAATATATTTCAAATAATAGGTTTGTAATTTAAGTTTGAATAAAAAAAAAAAAAAAAATAAAATAAAATAAAATAAAATAAAAGACAATAATAAACATATATAAATATATTATTTATTTTTTTAATAAACTGTAATTTAACTTTTTTTATATAAATTTTTTTATAGTTATATGGATATTTGTGACTTTGATGACCATTTAAATTGTATTAATTACGATTTTATGAACCCAGATTTATTCAAAAAGGTTTAATATGCAAATTCAAAAATCAGGAAATTTGAAATTGAATATTTATTAAGATAAATTCCAAATAATATTATATATAAACATTTATATTTTTTTTTTTTACAAAGTTAATTTGTATATATTTCTTTTTTCTTGAATTATTATATACACCTTTTTTTAGAATTTTTTTTTATTGTTAATTAAAAAGCTCCATTATAACTTTTTTTTTTTTTTTTTTCTTACAACAATTTACATGTTTTTATTTTATTTTTTTTTTTAAATGATCTAAATAATTATTAAAAATGAAAAAAAAAAGAAAAAAAAGTGTCTTAAAATTTATATGGTACAAATAAATTATGAATAGGTGCTTTCTTACCTTTTCTTTTTTGTTTTTTAAGACTAGAAAAAGATATTTATTTTTCTATGCACCGATATGCATTTATCACTTTTAAACCATTTTTTTTATAGTTTTTTTTTATTGGGGAGGTGATTATTTTAAAATAAGATATAAAAAAAAAGATTAATAATAAGCTTATTTTTTAGACTTTATAAAGCATATATAAATGTATGTTATAAAAAAAAAAAAAATAGAAAAGAACATGTATAAATATAAGCATATGTGTTTATAGATATATTATATATATATATATATATATATATATATATATATATATATATATATATATATATATATATATGTATTTAATATATTTTAATTTAAAATGAAGAATATAATATTTTTCATAATTATATTACATTTTTGTAGTTTAGAAGTACTTAAGTACGTTAATACTAGGAAAATGCTTGAAGTTCAAAATGAACTTATAAATGAAATTGACAATCCTCTTAAACATACATATACTATTAATAATGCTAATGAAAGGAACGTAAACAAAAAGAAAGAAATTAACTCACTAAAAGATCCAAGAAATTTTAATACTAATGTGAGTATGAACAATGAAAACATATTAAGTTTAAAAACAGATAAAAGGAATAAAAAAAATTACGACATAAAAGACTATCAATTATTTGATAAAACGTATGAAAAAGGTGTACATAATTATAATAGAATAGGAAATGAATTAAACCAAGTAAAAGATATAAATTATCATAATAAGAAAAGTAATAGCCCAGTGGAACATATAAATGGAAACACGAATGAAAATGTATCATATAAATTAAATGAAGAAGATTTAAATGAAGAAAACTCAAATGAAGAAAATTCAAGTGAGGGAAATTCCAATGAGAATAAATCAGATAAAAATAGCTCACAGAAGTTTATTTCACATCATGAAAAATATAATACGAAGAATTACGATAAGAATAAAATAAATAACAGTAAAATGAAAAACATTAAAAGTAATTTCAACAAAAATTTTTTGTATAGTGAATTAAAAAATATAGATTATTCTCAACATGGTAATAATTGGGGTATGGGGAAGTGTAAAAGTGGGAAGTACCAGTCACCTGTTGACTTACATTTACAAGGATTAAAAGAAAGAGATTTAAAAAATATAACTGATGTTTATTTAAATTTATTTTATGATGATGATTATGCTTGGAACAATTATAATAAACCATGGATGAAAGGAGATATTTTTTATTATTATGAATACTTAATAAAGAAATTAGTTATTAATAGAAAAGATAATGTTTTTCAAATTAAGGCAGCAAATAATGGAATAATTCCTTTTGGCGTTTTATTTACGACTGACAACCCAACTATGTTTTATGCAGATCAAATTCATTTTCATTCTCCAAGTGAACACACATTTCAAGGGTCAGGTAATAGAAGAGAGATAGAAATGCAAATATTTCATTATACAAATGATCTATATCAATATGATGAAGAAAAAGGGAAAAATCCCAAAACAAAAGTTAATTTAAATAATAAATTTAAAAACAATACAAATAAAAAGGAGAACAGTTATCATTCATACCTTGTCTCTTTTTTAATGAATAGTTTGTCTAATTCACAATTGGAGAAAAAATATATGAAAAAAATGAGAAGTGGTAACATAAAGAATCAGTATCAAGTTTTATCTATCACATTTACTAGTGCAGAAATAAATAAATCTACTATTGATCACTTTAGGAGATTACCATCGGAAAAATTTTTAAGAACTATTTTGAATGCATCACATAAAGTTCCTGTTGGATCGGGTAACAAATTATCCTTATTTTTACAAATATTATTTTAAATATATATATATATATATATATATATATATATATATATATATGTATATGAGTGTTTTTTTTTTTTTTTTTTTAGAACCCACATTAGTAGATTTAGATGAGGTTCTAAATTTAGATGCTCTAATGATGATGCTAAATATTGAAAATATGGAATTTTTGTCATATCATGGATCATCTACCTTACCTTTATGTGAAGAAAATGTTCATTGGAAAGTAGCCAAACAACCATTGCCTGTATCAACCGAATTAATCTTAGACTTCTATAAAATGCTAAAAAAACATACACCTAATTATAAAGGTAGTGATAATGATAATTACAGAGTTTTACAAAATGTAGAAGATAATTCAAAAAATTATGGAAAAGTTGATCTAATTCAAGGTTTCCCAGTACAAGTATTAATCTCTTCAGCACTGTCTACATTGGAAGATAGAGAAGTTATTAATATTATAAAAGATGCTTCTACTAAATCTTTTTCTAATTATCAATACTTTAATTATTTTTTATTTTACCTTTTTTTTATAGCACTAAAATATTTATATAATAATTAAAATTTTTTCTTTTTTTATGCTTGTATAAATTTTTTTTTTTTTTTTTTTGTTATAATATTATAATTAAATTATTTATTTTTATAATTTGATTTTTATAAAAATATTCAAAATTGTTTTTTTGGATTTTTTTTTTTTTTTTTTTTTTAAGTTTTTAATATTTCTTTTTGTATATATAAAACAATATATTTAAGTATTATTCATTTTTCCCTAAGAATTTTTTTATTTTTTAGTCTATTATAGAAAAAAAAATTTTATTTACCTTAATTCTGTTATATTTAATCTATTATTTTTTGTGATACTTTTATGATTTAGTATTGTTTTTCATATTTTTGAAGTATTTTATTTGTTACTATAATTTTTTTTTAGTTAAAACAGATTCTTAAAGTGTATATTCTATTTTTCTAATACTAGTTTTGTTTAGATATCAAATTTTCTCATTTTTTCACAATATTTAAAAAAAATATATATACAATATATATTTTTATTAATTTTTTACTTTATTTTTTAAATAACTATTTGGTATTAATATAAAAACTAGTTTTTATGTTTGACAATTCAGCAATAAAATTCCGATATAACAAAGAATAAATGATAAAAAAAAAACGAATAAATAATTAATAAAAAATGCTAATTTCCATGGATCTACAAAAAAAATTGAAATCAAATAATCTGAAATAATAAATGGCTGAATAAAAAGATTCACCATTACATAAATATATGTAATAAGCAAAATGCATAAAAGTATTCTCCCTTTTACCTTAACATCCATTGTACATTTTAAAAAATATATTTATATATACGAAAAAAAAAAAAAAAAAAAAAAAAGAAAAAAAAAAAATTAAAAAGTTCATTATAAATGTGAAATATCTCCTCCAAAAAAAAGTTTTACTCTTTGTATAATTGAATCTTTATTAGGATCAAATGGTTTATCTTTTGATGGTATTTCTAAAATTGTTGGTAAAATTTTATCATGTAAATCAACCAAATATCTAATTTCATCAGCTATCTATCAAAAAAAAAAAAAAAAAAAAAAATTAATTTTTAATTATTTTTTATATTTATAAATTATATAAATATATACATTATGCAAAAGTATTTTAGATTATTATGTTTTATGTAATGGCAATTTGTTAGACTACGTATCATTAAAGTAATATACTATTTTTTTTTTTTTTTTTTTTAATTTACTTGTTGATTCATTAAGATTACACCACAATCATGTTTTGATGTATATTCTTTGAAAACATCTTCAATTTCTGTTTTATTTGTTTCTTTAAAAAAAAATAAAATAAAATATAATTAACTCAAAATAAATATAATATTAAAAGGAAATTTAAAATAAATACAAACTAATCTTTTCATTTCCATAATTTCATAAAAAAAAAAATTAAAAAAAAAAAAAAAAAAATCAAAATATTTATTATTTTTTAAAGATATAAAGATATTTATATAATATTATTTTTTTATTTATTACTTGAATTTACAATGAAAAAATTTTTTTTTCCTAATCCATCACGAAAACCAATTCCTGCCAATAAAAAACCTACTACAGAATCCTAAGAAAGTTAAATTTATTTCATAAAAAATGTTTAAAATTTTTTATTTTTTTATTTTCTAACTTCATCGCCTATGATATATATTTTTAAATCTGTTTCATTGAAAAATTTATGTCTTCTTGATGCCATAATAAATAATATATATATTTCTTTTTTAATTTTACACGATATGTTTTTACAAAAATAATATTCTATTTACAAAGGTGTAAATTGCAATTGTTAAAAAAAAAAAAAAAAAAAATTCAAAAAAAGAGATATTATGAAAGCATATTTGTTAATTTTTTTTTTTTTTTTTAATGGGAATTAAGTAGCTATTATAAATAGATAGAATTAAAAAAATAATAAAACTTGTTTTTTTAAAGTAATATTTCTTTCCTCTTTATTTTTTTTTTTTTATATTAAATTGGAAGCCCTATTTTTTATTCAGAAAGCTAAAAAAAAAAAAATAAAAAAAAAAAAAAAAAAAAAAAAAAAAAAAAAATTAATGCATAACAAAAAATACATATCCAAGTAAATTCCTTGTATATTTTTTAATATTCAAATAAAAAAAATAAAAAATTTATATTAAGAATTTTTATGATATTTGTTTGTGCTTGTTTCATTAATTTTTTTTTAGAGACAAATTGTTTAATATAATATTTTGGATATTTTTTCATTATATCATTAATACAAAAAAATTAAAAAGAAAAAAAATATTTGGGTTTTAAAAAATTTTAATTAGAAAAAAAAAAGGAGACTATTAAAAAAATTATAAATATGTAAATATATTATACATTTAAATTTCATATACGGGAAAAATTTTCTATTTTAAATATCCTTTAATCAATATAATTATGTAAATAAATGTAATGCAATTAACAATGACGAAAATTATAATGCAGCTTTTTTTTTTTTTTTTAAAATAATTATGTAAGAAAATGAGAACACATGATTCTCTTTTATATATTTTTAAAAATTTCATAAATTTATAAAAAGTAAGGGCATTTAAAATATATAATGTACTATTTAAAGTAGTGTATTAGTATAACTTTGAAATATTAAAAGAGAATAATAAAAAGAAAAAAAAATTAAAATGAAATATATAAAAAAAGGATTTACAAAAAAGTAAAAATGACTAGAATATATATTTACTTAAAACCGCATTTTAAAAAAATTTTTTTTTATTTGTTTTTTTTTTTTTTTTTTTTTTTTTAACTTCATCTTTAGCAATTTTTTTTGTTCTCCTTAAATGTCATTAATCATCTTCTTCATCTCCTTCCTCTTCTACCTCTTCTTCATCATCATCATCTTCTTCTTCATCATCTTCTTCTTTTTCTTCCTCTTCTTCTTCATCTTCATCTTCCTCTTCATCTTCCTCTTCATCTTCTTCATCCTCTTCTTCATCCTCTTCTTCTTCGTCTTGTTCATCATTATTTTCCTTTTTCCTTTTGTTTTTTTTTTTTAAATTTTTTCCCTTTTCAGTTAAACTTTCATCTACAGTTTCATCTTCTTCACCTTCTACTACAGCTTCATCATCATCTTCATTTTCTTCATCATCTTCATCATCTTCTTCATCACTTTCGGAAAACTTTTGACTTACATATATATTTTGGTTTCTTCTTCTGGGTCTTGTAGTAGAATCAATAATATTAGAAGGATCAATACCATCTAATTCCTCTTTTAATTTCTTTTTTTTTCTATACTCATGTATTTCAGCTGGATTAGGTAATCTGTTTTGTTCTGAACATATTTGCTTTTTTTCACAAAATTCAATTATTCGTTGTTCAAGTTTTTTATTATATTCTTCTTCATTTTCTTTATTTAAATCTTTAAATATAGTGGGGCCTATTTTTAAATCTAATACAATTTTTCTTAATTTCTCCTTTTTAGTTGTATGAGCATTTTTTTGTTTACTATTATTACTAAAACTTCTTTTTTTCTTTTTTTTTGTTAAATCATCTCCAGAATCTATTTCTTCTTTTCTTTTTTTTTTTAGAGGTTTATTTTCATCTGAATTTATTTCTCTTTTTTTTTTCTTTTTTACCTTTACTGATTTATCACTTTCTGATTCATCTTCATACAATTCTTCACTTTCCCTTGAATCTCCCTTAATGTCTTCACAACTTTCCTCATTACTTTCAATAACTTTTTTTTTTTTGATATTATTCTTTAATGTATATTTTTTAATTTCTTCATCTTCATCTTTATCTTTTTCTTTTTTTTCATCGGCTTCTTCATTCTGTTGTTGGTTATATAATTTTAAAATTTTTTCCTTTAAAATTTTTTTTAGTAAATCTTTTTTTTCCTTATTTTCAGAAAAATAAGATTCATCTACATTTAAATGATCAGCTACATCCTTCCTAACACTCTTTAAAGTTACTAAGTTTAAATCTTTTTCTGGTAATATCTTATCTAATATGCTCTCTATTTTACAGACTTCATTTGTTGTATCTATAAATTTTTAATTTATATAAATAATATACATATATATATATATAAATTATGCATATTGCTTTTTATAATTTTTATATTTATTAATTAGCTAATTTTATTAAGTTTATAAGCCATATTATCATGATATTTATTACATAAATTACATATAATAAAAAATTATAATTTATATATATATGAAATCTTAATAATAATGAATATTACATTCCATTTATACAGTATATAATACATATATATAATTATATATATTTACCCATTAGCTCAATGATAAATTTTCTAAAATATCTTTTTTTTTTTCTTGAAGTTACAAATAATTAGTAAATGTGTAATTAAAAAAAGTTATCTAAGAAAAAAAAAAAAACGTATTAATCTCTTTGCTATATGTATAAAACTTTGAGGATTCTTTAAATGATACTAATGTTCTAAAGATGGAAAAAATGTATATGAACTTTTAAGTTCAATATAAGAACAAAAAAAAAAGGAAAAAAAATTGAAAAAAAAAAAAAAAAAAAAAAAAAAATTNAAAAAAAAAAAAAAAAAAAAAAAAAAATGGAATTACACTTTTATTAAGAAATTGACAATTTAGTTAATATTATTAATTTAAAAATAATATTAAATTTAAAATAAAAACTTTTTTTTTTTTTTTTTTTTTTTTTGTCATGCACGTTTCTTTTTTTTAAGTTTTAATATTTTTTTCTATGATTCATTAAGAAAAATTTTTATTATTTTTTTTAATTTGCTTTAGATTTTATTTTGCAATTTGAAACAAATTTTTGTATATATATTATAATGTATTTTTACTTTTTTTAATTTACATTTTTTTATATTTATTTTCATATTTCTTATATATATATATTTTCATATGCATTTATACCTTACATCTAATTTTGTATTTATTTATAGTTAAATCATTTTCATATTGATCATTTAGAAGTATTAAATGTCTTCATATATTTTTTTTCCCTTTTTTTTAGTATATATTTTTTGATAGTTCATTTTATTTCTATTTTTTCTTAATGTTATATATTTATATATTAAAAAATATTATTCGAATATATGATCATTTTTAAAATAAAATTTTAAAGAATATTATAATTTTATTATTTATTATAAGTAATTATTCAATTTAATAAAAATTTTAGTTCTAATAAATAATACTCTTTTATGTAAAATTATATTTTATAAAACTCAATAAAAAAAGAAATAAAGACAGTCAAATTTTATTTTAATAGAAAAAATTGTAAAGTGTATAATATTTAAAAAAAAAAAAAATATATAAATTTTCCATAAAAAAAGAATTACAAAAAAAAAAAAAAAAATATTTATAAAAATTATTTTAATTTATTAAAAGGCATTTCATATTACAAATAATGAAATGGATTTATACCACTACATTTATAAAAAAAAATTTATATTCTTTAAAATAATCATTATACATATTTTAATGAAATTTTGCCCTTAGAGTCAATATTTATTTCTTTTAATAACAAATATACTGATTAAGATTATATAGAAAAAATAATAGGTTTAAATTTTCTTTTTTTTAATGATATTTTATAAATTGAAATATATTTAAAAAAAGAAATTATATAGAAATACTTTATAAACGATCATATTTTAGAGCAATATTTTTTTTTTTTTTGTGCAATAATTTTCTAAAGGTGTAGCAAAACATAGAGAAATTATATATATATCAAATTTGATATTTTTTATAACTCATAAATGTAAAATGTTTTAAATTTGTTCATGAAATCCTTTATAAAAAGAATATTAGAAAGAAAAGGAAAAATTCCATATGTAATGAGAATGTGGTATTTTCCATTTTTCATTTATTAACTATAAAATACGTATAAAATGGAAATATAAATTGAAATAAAATATTTAAACTCATAAATTAAAATTTAAAAAAAAATAATTTGAACGCAAAAATAGAAATTTATTTTAATAGATTTATATAAAAAATTATACAGTAGTTATAGTCAAAATTATAAAAATAAAAGAACAAATTAATTTTAAAGGAATTCTATAAAAATGAAAAAGAAAAGAAATTATTTAAAGAATTAAGAATTTCATTTGATATTACTTCACATTAATATTACAAAACTTAACACATTTCTTGTAAAATTTATTAACGTTTATGTTTATTCTTTATATTTCTAAAAAAGAAAGAAAATTTTGTATACTTTAAAAACGTACGAAATAAAATAGAATAATTATTTTGAAAATAGTAACTTTTTATGTACATTTATAAGATAAAAATATCATGAACGAAAATATCATTAATATATATATATATATATATATTGAATAATAATTATAAAAATATATATGTAAATATACAAACATAATTTTCTATTTATATATTCAGAATTTTTGCATAAAACTGCATGGCAAATAAAAAGACGGAAAATTTTGAAATAGATTGTACATGTTTGGAATTATATGAAAGAGTTACAAAAAAATATTGCTTTAATGATTGTGCAATAATAAAAAAATGTATAAAAAATGGAATCTTAAAAGAATCTGATAGTGTATGTATATATGGAAAAGAAAATTGTGGGAAAACATTATTATTAACAGAAATATTAGTTGACCTTACAGCTGTTAAAGAATTAAAAGGGATGAATTGCAAAGTTGTTTATTTGGATTGTGATTTGTCTTTTAATTATAAAAATTATGAAAATATAATAAATAATAAATTTCTTAAATATATGAGTAATTATAAAACTATTAATACTGATAAATGTAAAAATAATAGTTTAAAAAAAGAACTTTTAGATAATTCTTTTTCCAACATTTATTATATTCCAATTTTCAATCCAGGTCATCTTTTGGTTATTTTAAATACGTTAAAAATTTTATTAGAAAAGAAAATTTCCATTGAAGCACTGATTATTGACTCTTTATCTTTTTGGAATTTTTGTAAATATGATAAAATAAATTTTTTTTCAGATAATAATTACGTAAAAAGAAATGCATCAGATTTATTAGATTATGCTTTTACTCTCATTTTAAATTTAAAGAAAAAATTTAAATTTCTATTTATTTATACAAAATTAAGTAATGAGGATAAATTTATTGAATATACTATTAATTTGTCCTTTAATGAAAAATTGAAAGAACAAATAAATGGTGTTGAAATACCTGAGAATAAAAATTATCATAATTTCTCTATTAATAAATCAAACGATTTAAAACAAGTATTTTTAATACCTCATAATTTTAATGATATATTGAAAACACATATATTTCGCAAAAAAGATTTTATAACTAATAATTTTTTAATAGAAAAACCTTTTTTAATTTTTTTAATATCAAATGAAAAAAGTGAATTTACACCTATCAATAAGAAAAATGATTTAAAAAATTTGAACATTTTATTGTGCTTATCTTCTGAAATGAAAGATATGGACAAAATTCACTACTCAAAATTTTTTTTTATGATAATTAATTCGCACACAATTGTATCATTATAAAAGAAAATATATATATATTTGTAGAGAATTATTAACAACGTATAACTAAAAGTAATAATTAAATAAAAGAAAATAGTTCCCCATGGAATTAGAAAAATTTACTTGCAAATATAATTTTATAATTTAAACTATATAAAAAAAGGAAAACATGAATTTGCTAAAAGGAATTATTAATGTGTTATACACATGCGAGTTTTTTATATATTTAATTTTTATTAAAATATAAATACTTCAATTATCAAAAATATTTTATCATATCCTCAATATATTTTAGATATATAATTCAATTAAGAAATTAAAGAAATCATATATATATTTCCCAATAATTTGTAAAAAATAATGAGTTTAATAGAAATTTAATTAATCCATTATCATTTAAAAAAAATTCTTAAAAAATTTAATTTTTCAACAGTAATATATTAAATATCATCACCGTTTAGTTATTCATATGGCAAATAAAGGAACACTATAAAATAATAATTGTTTTTTCTAATTTTTAAATTTAAAATGCAAATAAAAGGAAATAAAAAATAAATGTGAAGAAATAATTTTCTAAAGAAAATTGCAAATTTTAAATTAAGATATTTTAACCTCATAAATAACAAAATAGAAATAATTAATACAACTATTTTAACTTGTCATATAGAATATTATTAAGAAAATAATTTAGCTGTATGCTCTAAAAATCCTTTTTTGTGAATAAATCTGTTACTTTAAATAACAACGTAGAAACTTTTTTGTATAGATAAAATAATAATTTTTTCAGAGAATAAAAATATATATAGAAGCAAAAAATTCTTATAACTCCATTTTTTATAATAAAAAAAGCTTTTGAATTAAATTTTTTAGAAAATATTTTAAAATCATATATGTAATATGATAATTAAAGTATTCTATACTTCTACGACATAATTCACTTTTAATGATTATTTTATAACTTATAATTTGTATTTATTAAACAAAATTTTAACATAAAATTTACATCATAAATAAAAGCAGAAAAAATAATTAACTTTTTGTCGTTCATATGCACTTATTTTGCACACAAAAAGAAAATTATTTCCTTCATGTATTCTTACAGTACGTAATAATTAAAATCTTAATTTTAACTAATTCCTTCAATAAAAAAAAATTCCTTTTATATGGAAAATAAAATTATATAAAATTTTTTGATGTAAATTTTTTTTTTTACATGCAAAAATTTATAAGCAAAAATCATATAAAAGAGAAATTATAAATAAAATGTGCAAATTATAAAGATCTAAATGTATTTACCATATTTCATAAAAAATAATGAAGGATGCTAAATATATAAAATTCTGAAATGATATTTAACAAAAAAAAGATGTTTCAAAATAACCATTTTTCACATTTAATATATACATAAAATTTTGGTTAATAAGACCTACATATTAAAAGAAGAAATCATAAGAAATTATAGACTTGTTGCAAAATATTTACACAGATTGTTGCACCATTTATAAAATTTTTTTTTGCCTTTTACCTTTAATTTTTATCCTTACATAAATTTAATGTTTTAGTTTTCACTTATGTCAATGAAAGTGCATGAAATATTTCAAATATTTATTTTATTATATTTTTATTAATAAAAGATTTAATTGTATATACAAGACTTACGTATTAAAGTTAATCATTTTTGCATAATATTCACAAAAAAGAGATATAGTCTCTCGTAAAACTATCATACACATTTTATTCATTTTATTTATTTTTTATTTGTTGCTGTTGTAATTCTAAACAGAAATAAAAGCTTACTACTTCCAAAAAATTTTTTTTTAATACATATATGTTAAGAAAAAAATTTCAATTTTTTAATAAATATAAATGAACTGTTCAGAAAACATCTGTAGATTGTTTCATAATATATTCTGAGATCAAAATTTTATTTTTATTTATTTTTTTTTAATATAAAATATAGCGTTTTTTTTTTTTTTTTTTTTTCTAAAATTTAAATCTATTATTTTTAAATATTTGCCATAAAACTTTCTTTTTTATTTTTTAATTCTTAAAAAAAATTTTTAATTTAAGGAAAAATGCAATCTACTGAAACGCAAAATTTAAAAGCTACACCAAATGATGGAAATGAAGAAAATGTGTATGATAAAGATACACACATTAATTCATCACAAGATAACAATTATAATGAAGCTACGCAAAATTTAGGAAAAACAAATCCTATAGAAGGATATTATACAGTTACACATGAAAATAATTCGCCAATGGGTGTAAATAATATTCAATATATGACACCTAGTATTAATGAATCGGGAATACCAGTTGATCCAACGGCTATGCAAGCAGCTGCAGCTATAAATCAAAGTTTAATGTTTCAAAATAATGGTGTCCCCACAGATTACCCCGTAAACCATTATATAAAATAAGATTTTTCTAATTTAATTTTTATTTATATATTTATAAATAATTAGAAAATCTTAATAAAATATTTTTAAAACACTTTAACTATCAAATTTTATTTTTATATTTTTTTTTTTTTTTGTAGCAATATCATATGTTTAATGGAATGAATACAATGTATGGAGGAATCCCTCAGTACTATGGGGGTTTACATATGCCAATGAATCCATATTATGATCCATATGGGATTATAAATCCTTTATCTTGTGCTCCTCTTAATTTAGAAAAAACAAAAAAAAAAACAAAAAAATTTTACTGTTGTTAATATTTTGAAGTATAGAAATATTCTTTTTTGCTATATAGTTGAAAATATTTTTTCCTGTGAAAACTGGCTTTTTACGTTTTTGAAAATATATTTTATAATGTACATTTTTTCTTTTATATTTTTTAATTATTATATATGTAAATTTTATCTTAACAATAAAATTTATTTTATCATTGAATGCTATTAATTTTGTTTGCAAAAAATTACGAAAAAAAAAATTATATATATAATATTTTATAAAGACTTTCACGAGTGATGCAAATTACAAGGGAGAAATTTCCATATAAATGAAGGGTTTTTTTCTTTTTTTTTTGAAAAAATCGTAAATTTCACATTCATAACTGTTTTCTTCAAAATTTTGCAAATTAAGTAATTATTTAATAAAGCTGTGAAAATTTTTCTTTTTCGTAAATTTGCTAAATGATTATTATTTCATATTACATTTTTTTATGCTTTAGTTTTCATTAAAAATTTATTTATTAAATAAATAATCAATTTTTTCTTTTTTTCACTAAATATTAACCAATTTCTTAAAAACGAATATTAAGTTTTTATTACATTTAAAGAAAATTGAATGAAAATATAACTTATTAAATATAATATTATTCCATTTAATTTCTTGATTTGCGCAAAAAAAAAAAAAAGTATAAAATTATAGTATAAATAATAAATATTTTAAAAATTTACAACAAATATAATAAAAAAAAATTAGGTAAAATTAATTTTTACTTTTTATTTCTTATCATTTACATTTATATGCATGAAGTTAATTTTAGTAGTTGAGATATTTTAACATACATTTTTTATTAGAACATAAAATCTATAATTTATTAACATTCATATTGTTAAATCTAAATTATGGAACTACTATATATGAATTAGTATGAAATGTGTTAATTCAAAAAATATATTTTTATAGACAAAAAACTTATTAAATAATTCAAATAAAAGTGGTAATCTATATAAATATAATTTTTTTTTTTTTATTTATTATAAATGAATATTCTTAAAATTAACTTGTTAAATTAAAAATTAAAAATTTAAAAGTAAAATAATTGCATTAAGATATATAGATTTAATCAGGTATTATTATTTAAAATTAAAAATATTAACCTCATAATTTTACTTTGTCTTAAAATGTATTGCATTAGTATTTTTAAATTACAACTTTTTATATTATTATATACTTTCAACAGGAACTTTTTTTTGAATAACATACACACAAATATAAGGTTATAAAATGTAAGAATATTCTGAAAATTACAAGACAAAATATAAGTAGAACTCTTCTACAATGTACTGTATAATATACATAAAAAAGTTTTATAAAAAATTTATTTAAATCATATTATATGTATTTATAATATATATATATATATATATATATATATATTTTTTTTTTTTTCTATTAGATTAAATAAATATTTTTAGTTTAAATTCTTTGAGAATAATGAAAAATAATAAATTTATTTTTCTTTATTTATATATAAAAACTTCATCTTTTTTAGATTTATACAAAATTAAAAATATATTAAATTTTAAGGAATTAAAAATAAGATAATAAAATTAGTTTTAATATTATCAAAAATATAAACAATAAAATATGTTATTTTTCTTTGGAGACTTATATATAAGACCTTAAAACAAAATTTTTATAAAATCAGAAAAAAATTGTCTCTTTTTTACACTATATTACAAATTTTGATATTTTCATAAGATTTATGTACTTTTGCTACTTTCAATATTAAAAAAAGGGAAAATTGTAAACTGGAAATTTTCGTTTTTTAAATACCATCATTGTTTAAAATTAATGTTATAGGAAATAAAATATAAAATATTATTTATTTTTTAAATTTTTTAAATCATTAATTTTTTTAAAGTAAAATACTTTTTAACTTGTTAATGAAATCTTTTTTATGATTGTTATTTATGAATATTACTTAGAAACGTAGAAATAGAAGATATTTTTTTTTTTTTTTTTTTTTTTATACATGTATTAGTAATTATTTTATGTTATATAGAAAAATATAAAAACTAAAATAATAGAAATATAATTTAATTTCACTAATATTATTTCTTATTCTTTTAAAAATTCCAAATTTATACATATTTAATAATATGTACTTTATACATTATCCATATTTTTTAAAGTTAAAAAATTTAGTGTGTGTTTCATATTTTTTTTCCCTAGACACTATAATATTGAAATTGAAAATTTTAAATTTAGTAGAAACATATTTATATAGTCTATGTAGAAAATTTTTACATTATGGAATTTTTATTTTTATTACAAAAAAAAGAAAAATAGTGAATTTTATTTTGCTTCTATATAATTTAAAACTCTAATTTTTTTTTCTAAATAAACTTCTAAAAGTATGTCTTTTTTAATTTTTTTTTTTTTTTGGTATATAAAGAATATGAAAATTTTATTTAATTATAATTTTGTAAAAAATACATGATAATAAAAACATAGTAAAAATAGTTTCAAACTTATATAAAAATAATTATAATAAATTTTTTTCATAAAATTTGCTTATTTTTTCTATTTTTATATCTATTAGATAAATATATAATTAGAGAAATTTTTATTTAAAATAACATTAGAAATGTTTAAGCAAAGATCTTTAGAATTAAGAGATATAAATTATATTTATGAAAATTCATTGGTATGGGTGAATATAAACTCTATAAAAAAGAAAAATATAGTGTTGTATAGAGAGATTTTTGATTATTATAAAAATAAAAACAAAATATTTTGTTTCTTTAAAGGAAGAGTAAAAAGCTTTGTTTCTAAAAATGAAGTAGAGATTCATATATTTATAGAAGATAATTATAATTCTTTAAAAAATAATATAAATTATAGTATAACAGAAAATGTAAAATATTTATTACCAATGGATACAAATTTCGGTTGTAGTGATAATACTGAATTAATTTATCTTAACCCACCAAATTTATTAGAAAATATTTATCAGAGATATAATAAAGCTTATTTAAATGAAGAAAATAGAAATTGCATTTATACATACATAGGATATATACTATTATCTGTAAATCCATATGAAACTTTTGAAATATATGATGAAAATTATATGAATAAAGTAAAAGAAGAGAATAATTTATTTGCGATACCTCATCCTTTTTCAATTGCTAATGATGCATATAACTGCTTAATCAAAGATAAAGTAAGTCAATCAATAATTATAAGTGGTGAGAGTGGTGCTGGTAAAACAGAATCATCAAAGCAAGTTCTAAAATATCTTACCTATTTAAGTTTTTGTCATAAAGAAAAAAAGAAAAACCATGAAAAAAATTCCAATAAAATAGTAGGTAGGAATAAAAATATAAATAAAAACAATGATGTTAATAAATACAATTTAAGTGTTAAGAATGATGAATACGATGAGTTTAATTTAAGTGATATAAATGATGATTATAGTAACAATATAAATAAAAAAAAAGAGAAACTCAATAAATTTAATAATACAAATAATAACAAAAATTTTTTACAAAAAAAGATACCTTCGTATGAAGAAAAAATACAAAATAGTAATCCATTATTGGAATCCTTTGGAAACGCTAAAACAATAAAAAATGATAACAGTAGTAGATTCGGAAAATTAATGAAACTAAATTATAATGAAAAAGGAATATTATGTTCTGCTTCTATTGAAACATATTTACTCGCCAAATCAAGAGTGGTTGATATCCCATATGGGGAAAGTAATTATCATATTTTTTATTCTTTATGCCAAAATGAAAAATTAAAAAATGAATTCAATTTGTTGCCATGGTACAAATATAATTATTTAAAAGCAAAAAATAAAATAAGTAAATTAGAAGAAGAAAGTGAAATCGAAAATGGAGATGAAATAGAAAATGAAGAGGAAGAAGAGAAAGAAGAGAAAGATAATACGGAAAATAAGAAAAATAAAAAAAATAAAATAAAAAAAAAAAAGACAGAAAAAGAAAGAGTAGAAAGCCAAAATAGTAAGAAAAACAAAATGAAGAGTAAGTTAAATTGTGAAGAAAATATAGATGAACAAAATAAAAATTACAAATGCTTATATGATTTAGATGTAATTATAAAATGTTTCCATAGTATAGGAGTGTTCGAAAATGAACAAAAAGAAATTTATAAAACGCTAATTTGTATTTTGCTATTAGGAAACATTGATTTCATTGAAAATGAAAATGAAGGGGGAACATTAAAAATTAAAAATGCAGAAGTGTGTGAAAATTTAAATAAATTATTAGAAATAAAAAATGAAAACTCTCATGTAAATAAGATTGTAGAAATTTTGACAATAAAAAAAGTTAGAGAAACACAAAAAAACTACACATATCAACAAGCAATTTATAATCGTGATGTAATATCAAAAGCACTGTACCAATTGCTTTTTGAATATATAATATCACGCGTAAATGACTCATTAAACACTAATGAAGATGAAGAATATTTTGAAAATAATAATGAATATAACTTTGAATCTGAAGAACAAATAACAAACGATGAAGATTTCAATGAAGAGAAAAAAAAAAATGAAAATAAAAAAAAAAGAAAGAGGAAATCTTATAGAAAGAAAAAAGATAATTCAAATTCTGATTATATTCAAGATGGAAATAATAATTTTAATGATATAAAATATTTTATAGGTATATTAGACATATATGGATTTGAAAATTTTTCTCAAGAAGGAATAAATGGCTTTGAACAATTATGCATTAATTATGCTAATGAAATATTACATTCTTTTTTTTTGAAACAAATAATTTATAATGAGCAGAAAATTCATTATGAAGAAAATTTATGTATTGAAAAACTACATTATAATGATAATAGTAATGTTATCTCATTGATAGGAGATACAAAAGATGTTAGCATATATACAATATTGGAAGATTTATCTTTGTTAATATCATCAAATAAATCTAGTGAAAAAAATAAAAATGATTTGTTTTTTGAAAAATTAAATAAAAACATTATTAATTCAGCTAAATATAAATGTATAGTGAAAAATTATAAACGTTCAAATAACTCTTTTATAATTTCTCATTATGCAGGTGATGTTCTGTATGATTCGAATGATTTCTTTAATAAGAACGTTGACATACTTACCAATGATATTGAAAATTTTTTACTAAGTTGCAACTCATTTATTAGTGTAAATTTGTTAAAGAGAAAAAGATATGAAACTAAAAAAACAAAAATTAAAAAGGAATTGAAAGTAATTGAATTAAAAATTGAAGAGACAAAATCAAATAAAAGAAAACTTTCTGTTAAAGAAATGATATCTAATCATGAAAGTGAATTAAAAAATATATGTTGTAATAATACAAATAATGTTTATAAAAATAAAGTAAAATCCATATTTTCATATTTTAAAAAACAATTAGAAATGCTTACAAATGAATTAGATAAAACATCATCTAAATTCATTAGATGTATTAAACCTAATCAACAAAAGCAGTCAAGATTTTTTAATAAAAATTTAGTTCTTAATCAGCTAGTTATGAGTGGAATGGTTGATATTTTAAATTTAATGAAAAATGGATTTCCTTGCCGTGTTTTATATGATGATATTTGGATAAGTTATAGTAATATTCTACATGATGAAATGAAAGAATTTTTAACACCAAAGATGTTTTGTGAAATAGTATTAAAGTTTTTAGAAATTAATACTAATGAATATACCTTTGGAAAAACTAAAGTTTTCTTTCGTTTTGGAGTTTTGTCTATCATAAATGAAATTTTAAATAAAAACGAAAAAAAGAAAAATAAATTCATAGAATGCGTTTATAAATTTTGGTTATATAAAAGAAAAAAAAGATTGTTAAATTTTGTTTTATATGGATGTAGATTTAAAATATTATTTAAAAAACAAAGGGCAAAAAAATTAATGGAATATGGATTAAATTTATACAATAATTATTTATTTAAGAAAAAATTACATAATATAGAAAAAATTATTTTATATTATTTTAATGTGTATAAACAAAGGATATATTTTTTAAATTTAAGAAATAGTTCACTTATTATACAAAAAAATTTTAGAAAATACATTTCAAGAAAAAAATATTTATATATGAAAAGACAAATTTTATTTATTCAAGATTATTACTTATTTCAAAAATACTTTAAAAAAAGGGTTAATGCTTCCAATATTATTAGGAAAAATTGGATAATGTATATTACTAAATCTGATTATCAATACGTTTTAAAAAATGTTGTAAAAATACAGAGGGCATTTAAAAAATACATGAAAAAAAAATACATTAATTACTGTCTAAAGGTTGCTAATATAAATCAACAAAAAAAAACTAATAATATTCTTATTAAAAATGTAATAAAGGAAGAAGAAAAAAAAAATTGTTTTGGTAGTTTAAATAAGCAATTTAGTGAAACTGATCGCGTAGGCTCTTTTATATATATAGAAACAAAAAAATACAGACATTCTATCGCTGTAAGTTAATGAAGGAATAAAAAAAAAAAAAAAAAAAATTACATATATATATTTTTGTATACAAATTAATATATGCATATATAGAAGAAATTAAAAATGATTGATTGTAAATTATTTATAGATTGGAGAAAAATTAAATAATTTATCAAAAAGTAAAAACAGTTTTAAAAAAAGGAAAACATGGGATACAGGGGAAAATTTTTTAAAACATAAATACAACACAATTCATACATTTAAATATAAACATCAAATTAATATTAAAGATGAAAATGAAAATGGAAATATAAGAAGTTATATCACAAATGGAAATGATATGTTAAAAAATGAAAGTAGAAATTCCTATATTGAAGATAAGCCATTTATTAGTGTTGGGAATATAATAAAGAGTGAAAAAAGTAAAATAAAAGGATCTACAAATTTAAATTCTAATAACAAAAATGTTAATAATACAATCACAAAAAATAAGTTTAGATTCAGTAATTTAAGCATTTGCAGTGGTAATAGTCACAATAATTTAAAGAACAATAACTGTAGAAACAATGAATTGAAATTTCATAAAACAAGTAGAAATTTATTCTTTTATTTTTGTGTGATTATTTTAAATAATTAATTTTATATATAATTTTACACTTACTAAAAATATTTTGCATACTGAATATACATTATTATTTAATTATTACTCTTAATAAATGGGTTATATATATTGAATTATTTTATTTTTTTAATAATTTTATTATTTCTACTATATTTTAAAATATATCTTACAATTTCTTTATTTTTAGTTTATTATTTATATGATTAAATATAATTAATGAATTATTAATTTTTGCCTTTAGATAAAATCCAAATGAAAAGAAAAACTTATCATGCTAACTCAAAAGTTGATTTTGTTTCAAGTTATAAAAAAGAAAAAAAAAAGGTTTCCAATTTTATAAAAAATACAATATATGATAGATATATAGATAAATATAAGCAAAATCATATGATTAAGCAAAAAGAGAAAAAGAAGAAATCAATATATATAAAAAGTAATTATAGTAACATAAGTAATATATATAGTGTTTATAAGCCTGCAAAAACTGAAAAATTAAAAGAACATTTTAACTTTGATATAACAGACGAGGTATAAATGTGAACTATATATAAAAAAAAAAAAAAAAAAAAAAAAAATTATAAATATTTTTAAATTAATATATAATAAATTTGATTTCCTAACTTTAGCTTATTATACCTGAGGATTTTTATGTTTGCGAGTCATATATTCCGGAACCAAATATTGAACACGAAAATAACGTAAAATTATATTCTTCATTTAATATATATTTAATTTTCATAAAATTGAATATTGAAACATTGTTAAATGTAAATATTTTTGCAGGAAAATTATATATTATTATGTAATTATTTAGATAATAATTTAGATTCTAAAATACCATCAATAGAATTAAATGTTTTCAAATGTAACAAAAGGTAAAAAGGTAATGAAATTTCTAAATTGAATTCTTTTGTTTTTAATTTTTTTAATATCCTTTTTTTTTTTTTTAATATTCAGACTTTTTTTTTTTTATTTAAAATTTTTGTTTTTTATATTATGAAATTAAAAATTTGTTTTAAATCTTTAGAAAAAATTTTACTTTTTAAATTATATATTTTATACTTTTATGAAAAAAAAACATAAAAAATAACAAATAGACAGAATTATGAATATTTTTAACAACAAAAAAAAAAAAAGTTTACTAAAAATTCATAAGATAACGTTAGTATCATAAAGGACAGACAAAAAAAAAAAAAAAAAATAAAGTATACATATAAACTTACAAAAAAATTGGAATAAAATAAAAATTTAGCGGAAAATTCATTAATAATATTTTTAATAAAATGTATTTTAGAATTATTAAATTTTTTTTATTTAAGATTTTTTTTTGCTTAAAAAAACATATCCATCTATGTATATTTCCTTATTTTTAATGTTATTATTTTTTTTCTTTTCTAATTCTTCTATAATATATTTTTTTTTAATTTTACTTCTTATATTTTTAATATTTTTAATTGGCCTATCAACTTTTTTTTCTGAAGCTAAATTTCTAAGTTCTTTAGTATATTTATCAATTTTTTGTCTTCTTTCTATAGATTCATTTGTTTTGTATTTACTGAAAGTAAAAACATTCTTTGCTAAAAAGTTTTTTCTAATACTTGAGTTTCTATCTTTTTGAAAATTTATTAATCTTGTATTTTCTTTACTTATTCTATTTTCATTTTTCGATAAATTTATATTTATTATGAATTTTTTATCTAATTTGCAATTTGGTTTTTCTTTAGAGAAATTATCACAATTTTTAATTTTCTTATTTTCTTTTGTTATATCCTCCGTATTTGGTATAATTTTATTTTCTATTTTAAAGTAATTCTGAATTGTTTTTTTTTCTTGATGTTCATTAATATTTTTTAATTCGCAATTTTTTTTTGATATTTTCATATCTTGAGGTGTTTTATTATTTAGGTAATTAAAATCATTTAATTTTTTGTAATTTTCTAATTCTAGTTTTGTCATATTTTTAATATCTTTATCACTTTTCAGGTTATGTGCATAATCAGTATATTCTTTGTTACTTAAAAATTTATTATTTTGAATATTTTTAAGATGCTCAGAATAATCAGACAACTTATATTTAATAATTTTCCGTGATGATAAAACATTTTTTGATTCTCCAAATATTGATGTATTGTTGTTTTCATTAAAAAGATTTATTCTTGAATTAATAGATTTATCAAAATCTTTCGACTGAAATATTTTTTTATAGAAATTCATATTATATATATTCTTTACATTTTCTTCATTTTTTTTTACATCCTGAATGGTATTATTATCTAAAATATTAATATCATCTTTTTCTAAATTTTTATTTTTTTTTTTTATAATGATTTTGTCAAAAATATTTAGCTTGTCTATTTCTTCATATTCATTCTTAAATGATTTTTCTTTTACATTATTAAAATAGTTATTATGGATGTCATTTTGATTTGAATCATTTAATACTCTTTTACAGAAAACATCAGATTTAAACATATTTACATATGTAGGTCTGTCATAATAATTGTTATTAAGTGTATTTAATTCGTTTATGTTCTTAAAATTTAAATCTATGTTATCAAGATTTTTATATGAATTATTACTACTATCTTTATCAAAAATGTTTTCCAGTTTTGTTTTATTCACTAAATAAGACTCGCTTTTGAAATCATTTTTCGTTTGATTTTTAAGAAAAGTTCTTTGGTTTTTCTTATTTTTTGATTCATAATGTCCATCATTATTTATTTTAAATTTTATTACAGTGTTAAATCCGTTGATATCTTTTTTAACTAAAGAAGTATATAGTTCCTTTTTTGTTTTTAAGGCTTTATTTTTTAATATCTTTATATTATTGTTTTTTGTTATTTTTTTTAATTTTAGTTCATGTAATTTCTTTTTAAGTTTTTCTTTTTTTTCTATTTCTTTTAATCTTTTGTATTTTTTTTCAATTTCTTTTATATTTTCAATGTTTTCGATAATTTTCTGTTTTTTTCCTTCACAATTATTTTTTTCTAATTTTAGTTTTACATTATCATTATTTAAACAGTTGTCACTTTTATGTTCTCCAAAAAATACAAAATTATTTTTATTGATTTTAGAATCCTGTAATAATTCACTAGAATTTTTTTTTTTTAGATTTATTTGATTTATGTATTCATTTTTTTTTAAAACATTTTCTTTTAAGTTATAAACAGATGAGTTACATAATTTTTCATTATTTTCATTTACGTCTTTCCTAAAAACTATTTTTTTTATATTATTTTTTTTTTTGTTTTTATTTTTCATTTCTGAATGAGCTTCTAATTCATAATTTTTAAAAACGTTTTTCAGACTATTTATTTTATTTTTAAAAAATTCCTTTCTTTTTGGTGAAGTTAACATAATGAAATTTTTTGATGCATCACATTTAAAGTTTATATTTTTATTTTTCATAAAGGATGATGAATTCACATCTTTTTTTTCTTCTGTAAGTTTTTCTTTCTCATCTGAAGAATAATTAAACCTAGAATAACTATTTATATTCAAAGATTTTCTAATATTTTTCACTAATGATAATGTATTGTTAGTTTTTAAAATTTGATCAACACCTTCAAAATATTTTATATTTTCATAATTACTCAATGATGAACACATATATAAATTATTAGTTGTAACATTAGATAAAAAACTAGTATTTTTTTCAATTTTCTCTTTTATTTTACATTTAAATTTTTTCATTTTATTTTCCATTTGAACTTTGATTAATTCATTTTTGTTTTCTAAATTTGTTTGATTATCTTTAAAACTACCAATTAAACAATTGTTAAAAAATTTGTTATCAGAATTATTCTCATAATTTTTGTTTAATTTACTTTTTTCTTCAGTTTTTATATTTAAAGAATTATTCATAAGTCTATTAAGCTCTTTATAAAAAAGAATTTTTTTCAACTCAATATATACGTCATTTCTAACTATTTTTTTAATTTTCTTTAAAAAGTTAGTTTTTATTTTTTTATTTAAAAAAAGAAAGTAAAAATTTTTTTCTTTTCGGAAATTACTAAAATCAAAAGTGTTACATATATTTCTTATGCTTATTTCACATAAATTTTTACATTGAATTATTATGGAGAAAATTAAAAGATCATATGGACATTTTGAGCTAATTAAAATATTTACTTTATTAAAAGTATATTCTTTTTGATACTTTTTAATATTTTTCAACTCTATTAAATATATATCTAAAATTTTTTTAAAAATTAACATTTTTTCATAACTATTTTTTAAGTGATCTGCCAGCTTGTTATAAATATTTTGAAAAAAATTTTTTTGTTCGTTGCTTAAGTATACTCCCTTTATATTTCTGTTTATATCTTTTATTTGATTATAATAATCTTGTATTTCTTTGGTATTATATGATATATAGTTTGAAAATTTATTGAGAAAAAGCAGATAATTGTTAATTATTTCATAATTGAACTTAATAAATGAAAAAATAGAACCCTGTGATTTTACCTTAGTACATATATCTTTATATATGTTTGTTATATTTAAAAAGAAATTCATAAATTTTTTTATTATTATAAATTTTGAAGAATTTTTCCTATTTTTAATAGATTCAAAATTAGACATAATATTTAGTATTTCTAATAACTTTTTATCAATATAGATAATTAAATTATTTATTCCTAGTATTAAGCAATTAATTTCATTCAAAAATGTATTAACTTTATTTTTAATTTTAATAAGAGTAAAAAAGGTTAAAAAATTCTCTATGTTAAAAGAGTCATTAATAATTTTATAAATTTTTTCATTTTTTTCATTTATGCATAAACTGTTGTAATAATTTTTTATTATATCTTCTTTTTTTATTGTTAATTTTTTTTTTTCACTTAAATTTAGTTTTCTAAAAAATTTACAATTTTCCTCTAATGCTTGAAGTTCTATGACAAATTCACCAAATTTTAAATTTTTATAACCATATAGATAAATATAAGCATTTTCTTTGTTTTTTTTTAGCTTTACTTTTTCTACTAATTTCTTTATTCCTTCAACATTTATTTTATCATTTTTATTTTTATGAATGTTATTCTTTAGGCATACAATTTTATTATCATCATTACTATATGATGTTTTTATATTTTCATTTTTACTAATATTATTTACTTTTTTGAAATTGTGTGTATTCTGGGATACTTTATATTTATCCTTGTTACTTACAAGCATAAATTTATTGGATTTTTTATTTTCTTTATTTAAGTTTACAATATTATTTATTAGATTTTCCATTCTAATATATTCAGAATTATAACTTTTTTCATTTTTGTTCTTTTTTTGTTGAAAACTTTCTTTTTTTATATTCTCATTTTTATTAGGAAATTTTGATACAACGTTAAAAATTTTACTGTAGTTTTTGTTACTATTATTTTCATTATTAAGAATGTTATTTTTATCATTTTTATTATCATTACCTTTTTCGTAACTGTTACTATTATTATACTCAATATTTATATTATCATCTTTATTTACACAATAGTTACTTACTGTTGTTTTACAACATTCCAAATTGTTTTCATCATTTTTTTTTGGAAAATTATTATCAACATTATTATATTTTATATTATGTATATATTTTATTTTATTTGTAGTACATATATTATTATTAGGATTATTTTCATTGTTTTTATTATATGTATTAAGTTTAGTGAAACAATCTCGTAATAAAATTTTGGAAAATTTATAATTTAGTTTTTCATATATGTCATTGTTATAATATTCGTTTTTTTTAACGATGCTACTTAGTTTTTTCGTTCCTTTTTTTTTTCTTTTTTCTACTTTCTTCTGATTTAACAAATTCCTGTCTTTTTTTAATTTATTGCAGTATATGGTATCTTTTTTTTCTTTTTGAAAATTCATTAGTTTTTTTAATTCTATTTTCTTTTTTGTTCTCTTTAAAATGAAATTTTTATTTTTAATTGTAAGAATACGAAAATAAATAATGGTTTCATTTTTAACTTTTTTTTTTTTTAGCTTTATAAAATATTTTTTGTAAATATTACGTAAACATTTTAAAATTGCTAACTTTCCAAAAGATGAATTAATATAAAAAAATATTTTGCATTTATATTTATCAATATTTTGATTTTTTAAATCTTCACAACTTTCTATCAAATTTAAATGATATTTGTTTTGTTTATTAACAGAACATTTATATAAATTAATTTCCTTACTATATATATCATTATTTAAATGTATATTTGATTCCTGTTTAAATTTTAATAAATAGATATTTTCTTTGCAAAACGTATTAGTATTATTTTCTAATTTATCTGAGTATTCTAAAACTTCTCGTTTATTATTAAAATTTCTTTTTTCTGAAGAAATTGTTCTTATATTATTTATATTTTCAATATTATTATTTAAATGTTCAAGAAAGTTTTTCTTTTTGAAATCATTCTCTTTATTTGTACAATATTCTTTATTTGAAGAATTACTTTGAACTACACAATGATTTTTTATAAATTCACTTTCTTCTTTTGAAAAACTATCTTCCTTTAAATTATTTATTTCTTCCAAATCATTTTTTTGGTTTAAAATATCATTTGTCTTTATATTAATTACTTCATTTAAATGGTTGTTATCCTTTGAAGTGTGGCTAATATTTAATTCACAATTACTATCCATTTGATTATTACATTCACTAAGATCAATTGATATATTATTTCTTATGTTATTTTTAAGAATATTATCGCAATTTTTTATCAATGTTTGAAAAGATTCGCTAATAGAATAATTGTCAAAATCAAATATTTTATAATTGTCTGTTGTAAAATTATCAGAATTATTATTTAAGTAAGA